GCCAGTCTCTTTCATAGCTACTCTTCCGAATGTTTTTCTTTCTCTCCACCCCTTCCTCCGCCCCTCCCCCCCCCCACACAAAAAAAAGAAGAAGAAGATAGTTCTTATTGGACAAAATGGGAAGTAAAATATATTTCTGATGACAACAGTCACTTCTTTGGGTCATTGCCTCACCCAAAAAATTGTTGGATAAGGGGCACCTCTCTGACAGAATTAGGGCTCTATATCGAATTATTAGTGATTTACGGTATACCTTAGACTAGAAACTCTACTGGCGACTTGGTTGCGCCTCCACATCTCTCACAATAGTTTTCAGACATAAAAGCCTCCTAACTTGGTCACGGAATTGAGTGTGCCTGTAGCCATAGATCCAAGGGTTTGTCACGCAACTTAAACTCATGAGGAAAGCGGCTGACAGGTCAACTGAGTCTGGAATGTTCCCGATCCGGGCCACACGCAGGAAGTGAATGACGCAGATCGGAATCCAGGTGATGATGTATACGCCAATCAGCAAGAGGACTGTTTTGGCGACATTAACCTGGAGAAGCAAAATTAAAAAAAGCCAAAAAATATATTATCATAAAATATAATACAAATATTTTTGTCATCGTAGAATTATTAGCACCGTTCTCTGTTTGAACTCAGTTTGTTGATTTTTATATACTGCCTGAATTACAATAATCATTCTGTATCCACGTAGAGAAAGCATTTCTACGTGGTACCTTGTGTAATAAGAAGAGAAAGTCGAAAGAAGGGCATCTTCATTGATAACTGCTCCTAAGAAACCTCTTCAAAAATTCATTTGTCGATGTTTTCTTTTCCCAGGACGGAGCACCTACGTTAAGAGTTCGATCTGGTCAAGAGTTCGTTATGCGGACTCCTTTTCAAGTAGAACTCCATAATGGTAAGTCATTTTGTCACCTTTTCCGCCCTCTCCCTGCCACAACCACTTCTTGACCCCCTCCCTTCAGCTCCCAAACAGAAAGACCGAAGAAATCAAGGCATTCAGGTGGATACATTCCTCTTCATGTTTTTATCGACATAAAAAACTACCTTATGTACTATTCCCGTTTAATACCTTCAAATTCGATTTATTTCACCTCTGAAATTCTGAGTTATCACAACGATATTTCGTACTAGTTGGGGCTCAAGAGGAAAAAAATACAAAAGGGAAAAGCAAGGGAAAAAAGAGTAAAAACAGTCGATAGAATATTTCAGTGGAACTGGTAAACTACTGGCTTGACAGAATTTGAAATATATACCGCATTGGTCATGAATAAATCACCTGCCAATTTCTTTCTTTGACGATAATCTTCACAAAAAAGCTGCTCGCTTTCCACGAAAATAATAGTCACTCGTAAAAGCAAATCCTGTATTTTTCCCGCTACATTTGAAAAACAAAAGCTACTCTCTTAAAAGGTTTTTAAAAGCTTTTCTTCACGTAAAATCAAATCTTATCTTTCTTTCCTTGAGGTAGCTTTTGAACAGGAATTAGAAACTAAAGATAAAATTTCTTGAAAATTAATATAATGACATTTACTGTTTTCCTTGGACTAATAGGCCATCAAATCCAAGACAGGTTCTTGAATAATGATAAAACTCTTGCATTTGGTCGATGATATCAGCGAAAAATAACTAGGGAATGCCTCCTTTCATGTCTTCAATAATTCTTGTTAGTCAAAATTAAAGGCAAAATAGATTTAAAAAATATCACAGAATTCGCATCCAGATGTTAGTATATGCAGTATTTGAGATATCTTCCCTGGTGTGACGCGAACGATATTTGAATTTATTTTATGAAGAGGAGTAAAAGGTTTCAAATTGAGACGATTACCAACCCACCTCTTTCTTTAATCTTTCGGTGTTTTCCGAACTTATGTCCACGGGTAGTGTTCGGATACTTTTAACACGGTTTTTGCTCCTCTTCATGGCTTTGTAGATCTTCACATAACACCAGATAAGCACAGAGAAAGGTGTTGTGATGAATGTTATCACTAGAAAACTTGTGTAAGAGTAACTGCTCCCCACTGCTATAAAACAAGTCGCGCGTGAGGTGAAGAAACCGTAGTGACCCCACCCTAGAATCGGCGGAATAGCGATGAAGACGGCCAGAAACCAAAGGGTGAAAAGTATAACCTTGGTCCCTCGCAGATTGAAGAAAGTAGAGCTTTCGTTTGCTCGCACGATTACGAAGTATCTGTTTACACTTATGAGTGTCACCGCCATAAGAGAAGCGACCACGAATATGAGGGTGTAGCAACCATTCACATAACAAAACACTTCGCCAAAAACCCATCGCCTTCCAATAAGGACAACCGCAGAGACAGAGAGAGTGAAAAAAATCCGGAGAAGATCTGACACACTGAGGTTTACAATCAGGTAGTTCGGTATTGTTTGTAAATGACGATGGGTATAAACCATAGCACAGATGCCGAAGTTACCGATGAGTCCAAAAATAATTATAAGGAATATAAAAGCGACCTCGAGAACAGTGTACACAGTAGATCCATGGGCCAGAGGCGGAAAATACTTAGAACTATCCATCAAGAATCCTTCTAAGAGGAGAAGACGAATTTCTTTTTATGAAGTCGGTTACAGCAGGTTTTCAAATTTACATGCACTCTTTTGACCGCAAAGCTTCTCCCATGTAAATAGAGGATAGAATGGCAAGATATTTTCCTATGCCCACTAACAGAAAATGATTAAAAGTGTAACAACGGTAATTACAAATGGGCGAAAACAGCAAAATATTGTAAGCTACTCAGGAATGATTTTGCAAGAAGTGGGCTTAAATGACACTTTGATCCCGTAAAACACGTCGCTATTAATTCGACGCGATTGTCATGGCAAAATCTGACATTTCCACGTTTTTGGGATTCGGAAATCATGCAATTTGTAGTATTTGACATCTGCCGGCAGAGGGTAACATTTCTGATTACCTTCCTTGATATTTCCACTCTTGAAAATAAAACATAGTGACATCGGCGGGTAATAATTTAAGAATCAGTCAAGGCGTCCATTTACTTAATACTGCAAACTGTCACAGCTTCGTTATTAGTTTGATCAAAGTCTTGCGTAGACATTCTTCGTAATGACATTTACCTAACCGCGCTACAATTGGTTATTTCAAATGTAAAAGCGTCATAGAATTAGACGGCATAAATTCATTCTCCAACGAAACTCAATTAAAAGGAAAACACTAATAAATAATAACAGAAAAATATTCAAAAAGGAACTAACGGACCGGCTAAAAACGCATTAAAAACGAACCAATGAACACACTAAAAGAACAACTAAGGAAGAAAAATTAAAGCAAGTTAACAGTTCGGATGAATTAACTGCAGAACTTGAAGTTTCTCTTTTGAGAGACATTTTCAATCAGAACGTCTAATTCGATTCGTTCGAAGCTCGGTATTGTATCCGTAACTAATAAAATAAGCGGAAGAAATGTTAAAATTTAATCCACTTGTAACATGTCTGACAATTTTGGTGACCACATTTATTTCATTTTCTATGCTCTGCGTGCCTCGCGGAAACGGAAATTGAGGTAAGTAGTTTTGCGACGCACGGGATCAAACAAAACAAATAGACATGCCACAAATAAGAACTCACTTAATATTTATTTCGTCGTCAAGAACTCTCTAAAATCGCAAAATAGTTTTTACAAATAAACTATTGATATCGTGTAAATTATAACACTAAAAAAGATTCCTTTTAACCAGGAGAATAGGTTTACTCTTACACCCGTTAACGTGTCCCAGCAATGAAAATTCTATCATTTAAGATTCATAAAAGGTATTATAGTCACCACTATTTAAATGAGTAAAAAAGGAAAGGAATCGCAAAAAATGAGATTATGTTCAATCGTGACAATGAAAAGATATGACACAGAACAGAACACAAACAAAGGTTAAGAAAACAGTCTAAAAATTTCAGTTTCGAATAGCGCATTTTCTCGCCTTACTATCAAAACAGACTTCTTTCAAAATTCTCCTTTATCATTCAGCTTTCACGTAAAGTAAAGCGTGTAAAAATTAACACGAAAACTTAATGCTATCGTAGCAATAATTATTGCAACATTTAAGACATATATATTTTGTTTAAGAAATTTATGAAAAAATTATGAAGAACATTTTGTTTCTCCTATCACGTGGTTCTTGCACGCGATACTCTTGCTCTGCCGCTTGTGAGCCGTATCCTGCTACACGTGACTGGTGCTCTGCAAATTTTAAATTTCACTTTACCCCGTATGGAATACCCGTAAAGTCACCTGTCCTGCAGGAAAACGGGAAGCTAATTTGGATTTCACCAACCGTTCTTACATTCTGTCGTTTCTACTTTGCCCCCACACGTTATCCAACCAGAGAGAATGCGCCACTCGTGATTCATATACAAACTCTCCTAACAATTCCATTACATTTTCCTTCAACACTGAAATGATGAGAAAAGACATACCCATCAATTAATGATCTAGATTATTTAGATAAAATACCAGATTCTGTGTCACTAATTCACAAGGAAAACATAGTTATTGTAGCATGGAATTAGACTTACTCGTTAAATCTTAAACACGAAGGCGCGCTATATAAGAAAGTCTTCCCTGGGAAGACCTCGGCTCATTTGCCACTCACCGTTGACGTGTGCGGGTCAAATTCAAATGCTGGTAGACGAACAAAAAGAGCTAATGAGATAACTATTGTTTACTTCCACCAGCATGGTGGCATGAGGTAACGTGCGAACCACCTACTTCGATCTCAAATTTACCGCCACAAATAAAGACAGTTTCCATTGGAGAAAGGAAATACAAATCTCAAAAATTCTTGTATTGTGATGAAGACATAAAACAATTTTGAGGAATGCGCCCGCTGTTCACTGCTTTGGAGTAGCTGTAGCTCAAGCTGACTTGACTCTAAGAGTTCTACATCACACGACGGTTGATTGACAAATGGTCCAGTGGGACCTAAGGCTCCTTTTATAGCGCGCCTTCGTGTTTAANATATTTCCTTTGAATCTCTTCAGGAGTATTTGGTCTTAAATCAACGTGTGTTCCTTGAGATGAACCGTCTAATGTCATTCTACGCTGGTATAAAAATTGCCCAGTAAAAGTTCACTGAAAGTTGGCGTACAAATCAAAAGAATCTAAATACTCTTGCAACGTTGTGTAGCAAAATTCATACTGCTCCTACAAGAGAAACACAGAGGGACATGTTGGTAAATAAAATCCATCGGGCGGAATGCTACGACATTATTCCTTACTGACATCCGATGAAGCGGTAGATTTGAAGGCGACTTCGCTTTGAAGAAAGAGGGTAAGTTTCTAAAGAAACTGTGGTACTGCGTCGATGGGGGTATCATAAGATAATTTGGTTTTATCAAATGACTCGTCACTGTAAATTGGCCAATGTAAAGAGTTTCGGCGTTGACGCTGACGTTTCTATCGCGAACCCTTCGTCGTTCGCTCAAAAGACATTTTCATTTTGAAGAAAGGGGGTCAGTTTCTTTAGAAACTGTGTTGCCGCGTCGGTGGGGGTAACAAGGTAATTTGGTTTTATCAACTGAGTTCATAATATAAATTGGCCATCGTAAGGTGTTTCTAGAGCTGACTTTCGCGCGAAAGACGAAGGATTAACGATGGAAACGTCAGTGTCAACGCCGAAAGTCTTTGCGTTGGCCAATTTACAGTAACAACTCATTTGATAAAAACAAACGCAAACTTCAACTTTTACGATCGAATGTTTAAAAATTGAGGATGGCAATAAACAAAGAATAGGAAGTAAATAAATCTAATTGCCTCCCCCGCCTCCAAAAAAAAAGGTAAAAGGAAAAAATCCTTTTCACACATAAATAAATCAAAGAGAAGAAGACTACTCTAGATCAATACATGGCGTGCGCGTTATATCAGAAAAAAAAAAATAGCTTGCCAGTCACTCGGTAACGATAAAAACAAGACAGTGTAAAAAATAAATTAAAGCTGTACAAGCTAAGAGGGTCGTTTACGGCGTGCAATCGTCGTTTAAGGCCTGCACTAAACAAGGTGCAAAAAATAAACGGACCAAAAATAAAACAAACGAAACCAGACGTTTGCGGGGAGTTTGAGTAGCGGGTATGTCGTTTCTGAAATACACTAGCTCTGAAATACTTTTGCGGCTACTATCATGAATATTTACGACTTACCGCGGTCTGTACCATGGCAGGTCTCTGGAGCCTCATGGCTTGAACCGTTTGGAACACGTCAATCACTCCTTCTGCCTTGAGGCGCTCGATCATTATGCTGATCCCACAGAACACGCCCGTGCGGCCGACACCACCACTAATGACATGGGAGAGATGAACAAGTTTCATCGTGGGAGTTTGCACATAAGCGTTCCCTACCAGGAGGGGGAGTTCAAGCCTACACGACCTATCAGCGTTTTTTGGATTGGAATGCTGTTGATTAAGCCTTGGATTCAGCGTAGGGGAACCACGATGACAATTCTTGCATTTTGAAACTTTGGATTTAAAGGGTAATTTTTTATATTTCTTGGACTCAATCTCAAGAAAAAGATTTCTGAAAATTTAAGTCTCGTTATTGGAAATTAGGCCAAGACGAGACTAAAAATATTGCACTTTTCTGCAGTTTAAACATCAAAAATGGTTAGCATATTAGTAAACAGTTTTCTGTAGTCCTCACTCTGCTACATTCTTACCTGCAGTGTATAACAATGGCTGTATTTCCACTCTGCTGCTGCCATTTCTGTACTTGACCGATCAGATCGACTATACCCACTCCAGAGTCCGGAAGTCCTGTGTCCGGCCAGTCAGTGTACTGAAACTGACACACAGTGTGCGAGTTCTTCTCCTGTAAGATAGAGATCGAGCTGGTTTTTAAATATATGAGTCAATCTGACAACCAACCCCTACAACCACCCCCGCCCCTAACCCCCTAACATAAATGAACTAAGACACAAAAAAGCTACTTTTTGGAACACATACCTCCGTGTGTGTGAGTTTGAATTTCCTGGTAATGTAATCTGTAAATGAGTTTTCCTCTATCAGCTCCACCAGAATGACGCCATACAATTGCGATCCCTCTGAAGGCCAGTAATGGTGACATTTGACCTGGCAAAAAGCGACAACATTAAGCATAATTCAACTCCATTTTTTATATTAATTCATAACCTAGCTAGTTAACTGACTAACCCTCTGTAAGAGCGAAAGGGCTAACGCTCGAAACGTCAGCTCTTAAACTCGTTACGGTGGTCATTTCACTTTATCAACTCAGTTCAGTGACAAAACCAAAATTACTTTGTGAAAAAATATGGTTCACATTGGCTATTGCGCGGCGCTATTTACTGGCTTAGCCTGAGACAGGTTTCACTACTGTTGATTTAACCTTCTTCCTTGGATTACAAGTTACTATTCACAGTTTCCGTTCTTACCTTTCCTGCTTCTTCCTCTCTCGTTAGCATCACAATAGCTGCAGATTCCTGTTCCCATATAAGACGCCAGAAATCTTCAAAAGTATCCGGAACTGGAGCTTGAGTTGCTATGTAGGCTCTTGGCTGGCAGTAACCCTAATGATGCAGCAATGAAACCAACTTTTGTCAGGAAACGGGTAAGAAACAAGGGGAACGTTCCAGAAGCTAGTGTTTTTCAAAAAACCTGAATGAAGGTGGTGCTTTGGCATCCGCTTTTGGCAGAGCTTCTTAAAAGTTGAGTACACAATAACTGGTTTGATTGTTCGTCAACAAACAAACAGACTTACAACATGCCGGCGGCTATTTTAGGATTAAGAGACACAAAGGGCCGGTTATTTACACGAGGTCTCACGCAAACCGCGGTTTTACGCAAGCAGTGGGCCGTACTTGTTTTCTAAAAGAGGTTCGTTTTCCTTAAATAAGTGTCCTTCCATGGTCAGCTCTCGGCCCTCTCAGAAACTGTTCACAGAAATAAATGTTCAGGTAAAAGATTAAACTAAATTCAAGATAGTTTAGAGCGCGGTTTGGTTAAAACGCGCCTAAAACGCGCCTAAACTTCGTTTACATAACCGGCCCAAAGTGATTCACTTGTCATTCCAGCGTTAAAAACCTTTGCAACAACTAAACCGTGCAGCCGATGATCGTAGTCTTGAACACCTATGGCAGGGATTTTCAATAAATGTTCCCATAAGCGGCTGCCGATGGTAAACAGGTAGCTGCGCCCAGTAAAAGGGTCGTCAGATGAAACCCAAACACTGATTGCAGGTGGTGCTTTGGCCAGTAAAAGGGTCGCCAGGTCAAACCCAAATGCAAACACTAGAACATCTTCAGGCTAAGCAGAGGGTAGTAAACGGTCTTGTCGGCGCTTTTAACCATGTACCTCCCAGAAGTGATTAATTTGTAACTTCTCCTTATAAAATCCATACATTATCAAGTAAACAGTTGATGAGAATACTCAAACTTATCAGGTGTGGGTTGTTATCTTGATCTAACACCAAATTCTGGTCACTAACTCACAAGGAAATATGTAGCAGCTCGTGAGGAGAATTAACAATCAGATCTTGGGAGTTCAAGGGTCAAATGCTGGAAACCGGCTTTATTGAAACCCCTGTGTAACGCCTTCTCTGCTTTAGTTTTGTTACGTCACGTCATCTTTTTATACGGGTATTTTGGATTCGCACGTGGACTCTGAACCGCTTTAGGACCGTGACAAAAATCTTTATGAAGCTAGAATTTAAGGAGGAACACGCTCGTGTTTTGTGTTGGAACCTAACAGTCTTTGACGGTCAGTATGGTTGAATTTCGATCGAACTGTTGTTAATCTTTAGTTCGTGTTTATCAAGTTCTCGTCTATCAAGCCTTAAATAAACGGACCAGCCTGATTTTGTTAGACTTGTGGTTGCATCACTACAGTTTTCTCGCGTCCCTTTATTAATCGGAAAAGGCGGCCGCTACACCCTGCTATGGATAAAGTGCGAAATTCATAAGAGAATAAGTTGCATACAATCATATCGTCCGCAAATTAGCAACACTTATGTCATCTCTGCAATTTGTAACGAACCTATCATTTAGATTACTTACATCAACGTAATTGGCGTTTATGTAGTCAGAACCCATTTCTCCCGGCCTCATCTTCAAATGTACTCTTGTACTTTCGACTGAAAAGATGACAGTCATATAATCAATACTAAAAGATACACTAGCAGAGCTGAAAAAATCGCCTGAAGGCGAACAAGGCGTCAAGGCAAACAAATCTTAAACGCCTTTTGAAACCATCCAACACTTCAGGACTGTTTGTTGAACAACTGTTGTTGCACCAG